TTGTTTAAACTTTGAGAAAAATACTCACGGCCATTATCACTTCTTACCATTTTGATGTTGGTATTGAATTGAGTTTGGACCATTGAGTAAAATTTTCTGAACACATCTTCAACTTCAGATTTTTCTTTAATAAAAAAACCCATGTTACCCATGTATGATTGACGAGCACTTTGTCGTAGTGCGTCAAAATAATATTCAATACTAACACTTATACGTATTATAGCGTAGTAGAGTTCGTATCCACAGGGAAAGGAATAATTTTCTTTTAAATGAAACTAGTAATTAAAGGGGGGTTTTGGACTTGAATGATTTAATATAATTAAAAACTAAGATGAACAACCTATATGTGATTTAATTCAAAGATAAAAAGAACTTGACTTTGCTACTTTCCACTTGTTGATATATTTAGTCGATCCTTGTTATATCTATAACTTATCCCCTCTCGAATACTCAATCAAGGAGTATCTCCAATTCATCGAGGGTAGTTATTAACAACGACCGTTCATTAATAACCCTTACTATTAATCAAATATAGAACAACGCCTTATACCGATTTAATAATAGCATTTAATCTTTCTAACTCCTTGATGAAATCAATTGAGAATGATAACCTCAACACAACGGTTTCGGTTTAACCAACAAAATTAATCCTTCTTAAGTTTATTAACCACGACCGTGCATTAATAAACCGAAGTTACTTACTTGTGAAACCATCAACGATTAACCATCGTTTCGTTGATCGTTTCTAGTAATAATTAATATTGAGATGTTAACTAATTGTCATCTTAGCAACACTCCCCAACAGTAATATATAGATAGATTAAGGGAAGAATTAATATTCAAGGAGAAAAGTTAAGAAAATAACTCACAACTTTAATAATCAACAAGCTTCAAGAGCAAAACCAAGAAATGGAAGTTTAGCTCCTCATTTGGAGACTAAACATACTAGAAAAATATAAAGAAATGCTATTCTAAACTTAGCTTAAGAGTATATGTGAATTGATGATCAAATGGGAAGGAAAATGGGTGTATTTATAGGTGTTTGGAGGTGGCAGAGTCATTTACCCGACTGGGTTTTTCAGAAACTCGATCGGGTTTCCTGAGTAATTGCCCGGAACCTTCATTAGTCACATCTACCTGATCGGGTTTCTGATTTACCCGACCGAGTAAAAGACAAATCTTTGCCAAATCTCCGCCCTGCACGTTTAATTGCCTCCAAATCATATTTGATCTTCGGGTCAAGTCAAACCCGATCGGGTTTCTGAAAAACCCGGTCAGGATTTTGACTATTTTCCCAAATTTTCACTTTCTCTTGTTCCCTTGCACTTTCCTTGACCTTTCCAAGATCCTTTTGATGATCTTTACCTAGTTTAAGCTCAGAAAATCCCCAATCTATACAAATTACAAGTAACTAGGAAAAATAAAGTATTACACCAAAAGTGTGTAATTTCCCAAACAACAACAAATAAAACTAGTTAAAATTACAAACATAAACAATAATAACAATTTTATATATCAATGATCATCTATTATAGTTACAAACCATCTCTTTCCTTTCAAGGCATAAACTCTAGATGCACCCCAAATATCACTATGCATAAGAGTAAAAGGACTAGTTGGTTTGTAACTATGAGGGATATAAGAATTCTTATGATGTTTTGCAAGTGCACACATATCACAATGAAATGATGAAAGGTCTTTACTATGAAATAACTGAGGAAACAACATTTTTAAATAATAAAAACTAGGATGACCTAATCTATAGTGCATTAAATACACTTAATTATTACAAGGAAAAGAAATAGTTTCGAGACAAGCTTTTCCTTGACCTTGTTTATTTAATTCAGTCCCTTCATCAAAGACATAGAGTCCATTTTCCTCTCTAGCACTGCCAATCATCCTCCCCGATGCAAGGTCTTGAGAAATGCAATAAGATGGATAAAATTTAACACAACACTGAAGATCTTTTTTTAACTTGCTAATAGAGACAAGGTTACAAGAAAGTTTTGGAACATGTAGGAAATCAGTAGGGTAGAATCTCATCCTAGCTAAATTGTTGTTTCATGATAAGCACATATTTATGGTTCACAAAGAATCTGGTGGAGATAAGCATTGAAGGTGAAAGTACACTACCACATTTTCAGCAAGACTTGTGAAAATACGTAGTGAAAATATCATATAAAAATGCATACTATGGTTGTTGAGTCCTTCTTTATATATGGTCACTTTTCGAGCAACACAAAGTGTTTCAACTTGTGTGTTCTCCACAAGCAGCCCCATATCACTTGTTTGGTACTCGGCTCCTGTTACAATGGCAATATCTTGCAGAAGTGTCTTTCTTCTATCTCCAAACCCAAGTGCTTTAATAGCAGCGACATTAAGAAACCCTCTTAGCTTGTTGACAACTAAAATTGTCAAGGCTTCTCCGCTAACATCTTCAGGAATAATGAGAAGTGGAGGTCTTATTGTTTTTTCCAGCAATGGAATAATGTATTTAATTGCAGATATCTTTTGATCCGTAACTAAAACCCCGACATTTTCAAACTTCACAGTCAACTTCTCAGAATGGGTGACAAATTGAGGGGATACATATCCTCTATCTATCTTTGTTCCCTCTTCTACATGGACAATAGTTTCAAAAGAGGAAGATGACTCAATTGATAAACCGCCATCCAGCCTTCAAGTGGGTACCAAGCCATGCACAGTTTTCTCAATACCCTTCTTAATGGAAGCAAGGTTCACACCAGATGTAACACTCAATAAACCGAGCTTGCTCGTTTCACGAGCCATGTATAGGTTTGTGGTCAAACGTTATTTCCTTGGGAGCTCGGTGAGGTTAGGACACCGTTGGGAGCACCTGGTGATAGAAAGAACAAAATGGACTGTTTGAAGCCGATGGTGAGACTGAGATGCAGGGATGGAACGGATGGGAAATGTTTGACGGAAACAAAACGGTAAGTTAAGTTCCTTTAAATGTAGTACACATGGTAAAACATAATGTACCACCCTATTAAGCTATATGATTACACTAACTTTTTTTCATCCCCTGAATGCCCTAACTCTCATTGACTATTATAAGATTTTATATTTAAGATAATGTGGGACATGATTTAGGGTGTGTTTCCGATTATAACCATCTTTAACTTGAGTAGAGTAATCTTTTACAAGTGCAATAGGTGCTTGACATCAGGATCATTTTTATAGAACCCTCCCAAAACCTTAATACTACGTACTCTTGAAAGCGAGATCCACCTTTTCTTTTCAGGCTATCCCAAAATTAAGTTCCACCTTCAACTTCTTTCTATATTTGGAAGGTTTTTATTATTCATTTACCTTTTTACTCTCACACAATTTCATTGAATTGATGTGTATTACCCTCATTTCACTATTCATTACCCCCTTTATTATACTCATTTGGTTATTACACCTTTTATTTACCCAAGGGCATTCATTGAGGTATTTTTAGAGGAGTCAATTCTGACTGAATTTATTCTCTTTAAATAGTCCAGAAAACCATTACTCGAATATTCCTCTCATTCGTCAAATCATAGAATTTCAATACTCTTATCGATTTGTTTCTCTAACTATGTTTTACACTCAATGAATTCTCAAAGGCTTCTTATTTGTGTTTCGTACGATATACAAAATCATTTATAGACAATCATCACTAAACGTGATGAAAAAAGAAAACTTTCTCTAATTTGATTTGAGAAAGGTTCACACACATATGTGTCATGTGTGAATCCACTCGAACACTATGTTCGGCCACAATTCTTTTCCAAATGCTTAATAGTCATGCATTTTAGCTTAAAGACAATGTCCACAATTGTTTTATGATACAAAATCAAATGATGCCAAGTGGCTAGTTTAATTTTCTATTTGTGCTTTATTAATATAACAAGGACTTCAATACCATAAATATGTGCTATTTTTATGTTTATTTAATTTGAATCTTATTTTTATATATTTAATATGTTATGTCTATATGTGAAAATATATAAATCATTCATAAAAAAAATCATAACTAACACAATTTCGTGAAAAACAGCAACTATTATTAATAAAATGTCTCAATGTCTAGCACATGAATGTAAAAATGTTATTCCCTTTAAGATAGTGAAATAAGAGTTTACTTAATCATTGTGTAAATTATACGTTATGCCTCACTCAACAACAACGTTCGCTCTATTCACCACGCGTAGGATGATTTCACACAACCTAACTTTTCTGTACTCAATTAGATCCTGGACATGATTACAAATGTGTGTGCCACACGATGAAAGTTAAGTAGTGAACATATTCATTCCAATGACAAAAATACCTAAACTAGAAGCAAATGTCATTGGTAATTTGCTTTCTTTTGAACTCCACCTTTTGATTTCAAAGTTGCACGTTTAGGTCTAATTTATATTTTTTTCTACTTATTCGTTCTCTTAAAGTCAAACTTAGTAATGGAGCTTACCATAAAACAAATCTCCCCTTAAAATTAAAGTAGAAGCTTCATAAGATTTGAGATTGTTGTTATCAAATACATTAGTTATCTACTTTTTATGAAGATAGGGTGATCCTAGCTTCATCGAACCGATCTTGAGCTCCTAATAACTCATCCCAAAATTTTGAGAGAAGTAATTTCGAGCCACTAGAACAATCCACACAAACACCAATATGTATTCTATCACACACAAGAAACCACTCTTAACTAAATGACTTCGTGCATCGTCAAATTCCAACACCTTGACATGAAATAAAACAATAACCGCACAATCCCTCAAATTGGTCTTAAAAGTTAGAGAATCACCATTTGAATAAAAGGCCCAAACTTACCTTTTTGATAAACCTTTCCCAATTAGGATGTTTTAGTTGCACTTATTTCAATCCCAAACCAGATCAAGCCTAGATAGACTTAAATTTCACGCAGATCGGAATCTACCAGACCAAACCATACTATATTAAATTAAACTATATCAGATTAGAAAAATTCCTAAAACATCCTAAATTCCCCACATTACCACATACACATTAAGTACCGAACGTGTACAGTGAGTAGCTTTGAGCCTTTGATGAAGCACAAATACAGATGCGTCGCACACTCAAATTTTACGGATCCGCCGTATTCGCCAGTATCATCAGTTTCTTCCACGAAGTCCTGATCCAACCACTGGAACACCTTTGCTCTGAAGTACAAAAGCCAACTGCCGTCTCCCCCAAACAGCCCCCGAACATGAACAGAGACGAGCCGGCATGCAATACGTACAACTACGGAGACGCCCTTTATTGGGATGCTAGGTATATTCAAGAAGCAGGGGTTGGTCCCTTCGACTGGTACCAACGCTATTCGTCTCTTCGCCCTTTTGTTCGAAAGTATGTCCCCACCTCTTCCCGTGTTCTCATGGTCGGCTGTGGTAATGCCGGTAATTTCTCCCTTCTGCTCGTTTCTTTATCTTACCTCCATTTTTTACATTTTCTAATTCTTAATCGTTGATGCTGATTTATTAAAGATGGAATCTTTCCTCGATTAGGGATTAGGGAATAGAGGGAACTATGGTAGGAAGGCATCTTGGAGGCTGCCAGGCTGGGAGCTTATAACTTATCTGTTTGCCAGCTCTCCGCTCTCGTGTACCAGAGTGTTTATTCTTTAGTACTCTGTAGTCTGTATATTCATTTAGGGATCTTGGGATGTTTGTTGAATTGAGTTATTGAAAGATAGCGTAGCTTGCGTTTATATTTATTCCCAAATGATTTAGCCAGTGGTTGGATTCAATGAAATAAATTGGACATTAAGAATTTAATTCTATATTTAGAAATATTGGAATTTAAAGTCCATCAACTATGGAAGGAATTTTAGATATGACTACGTAATATAATCAGTATTCTTAAATAATGTGTGGTTTAAGTTAAATTTAAATCCAGAAGTCTTTGAGCTCTAAACATAGAATTTGACTCAAATCCAGGGATTTCGAATGGTATCCTACTAAGTACTATCCAAACATATGGGTAGTTCTTTTTTCTGCATGTGTTCCATGCTATTGTTCTTGGTATTGCACCAAACAAACCGAACAATAGCACACGTGGTCTGTTTTACGCGGATCAAATGATCCCAAGCAACTTAGGTTTTCCTCTAACCTCTTAAATTGTATTTTTACGCATTCTCACCTGCTAAAGCTCAGAACATGCCAAAGATTCCCATCACCTTGTCCTCAATTGGGGTGACTCTTGTATCATCTCCTACTACGTCTCTATTTCTTCCCTCCCTACTTTAGACGGGCATTTGTGATCCATCTCAACAATATCACCTTCAAAGTTCTGGTTGTTATACACTTTCCAAAAGTTTAAGAGGTGGCTACAATGGCATGGTTTTGGACAAGGAATCGGAGAAATCATAAAAGCATAAATGCTTTTCATCCTAATATGTTAAGTTGCTACTTAGGTTCTACTCTGTATTTTAAACATCATGTGTTGTATAAAACATTTTTAGAATTGCATTTTGCTTCAGCATTGTCTGACGAGTGATTTTTTTATCACATTCAAAAACAACGCCCCTGCCCCCCCACAAAAAGTGTATCTTTCAACTTCCTAATAATTGAAAGTCGGAAACTACACTTTTAAGTCTCTCTTTTTCCTACCACGAAAATAATATTTGGAGTTTCCATTCATGTCAGGATGAATGTACTTTATATCTTCTAATGTTTTTCGCATTGTTAAAAATATGATTGATATTGATGGGGCTCATCCGAGTGTTTTCCAAAACTTGAGGGCTACATTCAGCTTGGTATTTTTCAGTTACCATAGAAAGCTAAGTTCTTGCTTACATAAAATTTGAAAAACCTGTTTTGTGTGTGGCACATAGAGATATATATATGCTTGAATTTGGTGACCTACATGAGAAGGGCAGATGTCAGATGTTTTATCGGCTATCTCTGTTTGTTTGGACTGTATGCAAAATTTTCTGATAAGTGATATCCTTTTTTATGACTCTATTTTGTAGTTATGTCGGAGGAAATGGTGAAGGACGGGTATGTGGAGATAGTGAATGTTGACATATCATCAGTGGCTATTGATATGATGAGAAAAAAATATGAACACGTAGGTGAACTGCAATGTATCCTAACTAATGGCTCATGGTCTACATACAAGCATTCAAGTTGTATTTATATAGTTATTTGATTGTTTATTTTTTACTAATTTAGTTATTTTCTTATTAATTAATTAATTAATCAATTTATTTATTTGTTGCTTGTTTAATACGTAGTAATTTATTTATTGATTTTTTTATATGCATACTTTCTTATTCATTTATGTTATTTATTTATTATTATTGGGAAGAGTTTTTCTTATAGAACTGAACAGACATGCAAATGGATGTTAGAGATATGAGCTTATTCCCGGATGATTCATTTGATAGTGTCATTGACAAAGGCAAGACTGCCTTAAGATTCATTTTATATGACTTAAAAGGAAAATGACTTCAAGTTAACTTTATTGTTCTAGGAAATTAAGAATGTAATGTTGGGTTTCATCTTTGGTTTTGTATGAATAATCTGGTCATCACGCTGTAACAGGAACTCTTGATTCATTAATGGTAAGTTTTTCTCTGTGTAATCCGTTAAAAATTTGCTCAAATGTGCCAACATGTTTTTTATTACCCCAAATTTGTGATCCGTGCTTATAACTTTACAGTGTGGTACGAATGCTCCAATTAGTGCCTGTCAAATGCTAGGTGAAGTGAACAGGTTCTTAAATTTCTAGGCTTTAGGCCCCGTTTGTTACAAGGAACTCATATGTGTGGAAAATGCCTTCTGATTTTACTCCATTTGGCATTGGAAATCATTTCCCTTTAATCTTTGTGCTTTGTTGAAACAGTTTTATGTTTTCTAATTTTCGGTTTTCAGGAAAACATTTTCCTCAAAAACTATCAGCCTTGAAGCAAACGGACCTTAAATATATACTGCCTCCGGTTCTGAAAGATCTTTACATTGACTTCACAAATATTAAGGAGTTTGACACTCTTTGGCACTGTTTGACACTGTTTGGCACTGTTTGGTGTAGATTTGTAAGGCAAATAAGAAGTGTAAAGGTCTTTCTGGTACTGCCAAAAATGGAAAGTGTAAAGATCTTTTAGAACCGGAGGGAGTATTGTTTTATCTTTCTGCAGTCGATTTAATTCTTTAATGTTCTTTTTAATGACGATTTTTATCTTTTTAATAGGGTTCTGAAGCCTGGTGGCGTCTATATGCTGGTAATTATCAGCGGAAAGATTCTCCGTGTTATCATTGCCTCATAAGCATTTGAACCTTATATTTATGATTTTTTGCTTTCTACTCATAGATAACTTATGGTGATCCCACAGTGAGGATGCCTCATCTGAATCGACCTGTGTACAGCTGGAAAATTGAGCTATACAACATACGTAAGCCCTTTATTTATCTTCGACATTGTTGTATATAATCTTATCTACTTTCTTTAGCCTATCGGTGTCATTTTATAACATAATTAGATAAGGTGGTATTTTATGCTACTTTTTAATTTGGCTTTCTTTAAGACCCATATGCAAAGTTAATCTTATACTCCGTATGATTAATGGTAGAAGGAGCAAATATACTCTTGAGCTGAAACACAAAAATTGTAAAGCTGAAACAAATATGCCGTTGAATAATATATGAGAAAACATATATGCCACTCAACTATTTATATATAAGGGTATATTTGTTCCAATTTATATATGACTGCAAGGGCATAAATGTTCTTCTCTGTGTGATTTCTTCCAAAATGACTCATTATAAACTAAAACGAGTACGGAACAAGAATCTAGCTGAAGTGTGTTCTTTAACAGAAAATAACACCCAAGTAGCACCGGGACGAAAACGGAAACGGGGACGGGGAAGCGCTAAACTCAAAATATTAGGAAATGGGTACGACAAGGAAACATCAAACTAGAAATTAATTTTTTTAGAAATATAAGTAATGCATATGTCTAACAACCCAGAAAATAATTAAACAAAACATACATCCTTGTTATAATCCATTCTACAAGCACAATAAATAAAATTTAAAAAGTACTACGTAAATGTTTCATTCAGTGATAAACACTCTCTCCAATTCCGGCTCATCTAAGGATAAATTAGCAAACTCCAAATAGCCCATTTCTTCCAAATTGCCGTACTCGTCTCCTCCAACATCCCACATCTTGGTCTTCTCATCTGCGTATTGCTCAAAACTCCTTGACAAGAGGTGAAGGTTGTTGTGCACAAACACCAAATCTTCAGCACACTTAGGAGTTAACTTGTTCCGCCTAAGTGAATGGATAAAAGAGTAAGTACTCCAATTACGTTCACATGATGATGAAGATGTAGGCTGACCTAGAACTCTAAAAGCGAGCGTTTGTAGGTTTGATGTTTGAGCACCAAAGTTAGCCCACCAAATTTTAGGATCCGTGTTTCCCCTCTTTGAAAGAGATGTAATACCTGCAAAAGGCTCTGTCTTAAGTGAAAACGAAGCAAACTCCTCCAAAACCATATCGTAATCATCACCATTTGGAAAGAGCCTTCGGAAGCATTTCATCCTTTCTTGGGAGATCTCACCATCCCTATGAGGAGGGACCCTAGTGGGATCCGCAGCAAGCTAAACTTTACTATAAAACCTATTACAAAAATAATAACAAACCAAACTTTTATAAATAAATATATAAAAAATAATATATCATGTTTAACTAATAATGATACCTTGGGTTCAATGAATGGGCTAAGCAGTGAAGCGGTGTAGAACTCTTTGCCCAACGTGCCACAAGAATATTGTATACTACTTGGTAGAAAGCACTATACTCATCGAGAGACTTTCCTTCATGCTTATAGATTTCCACTTTGACTTTTTCAATCATGGAATCCCACATCTCATATACCAAATGGAGGCATGCCCTATCAGTATCACATGCTCGAATCATACTATAGATGGGATCCGAGAAAGCAAGAATATAATCAATTTGCTCCCACCAATACTCACTTAAAATCTTCTCCCTCACAAACCTTGCTTTGCCTTAGTCATCCTCACGATATGATGCCCATTCATCACTCAACACCATAGCCTCCAGACCACGTCTAATAAGCTTAAACCTCTTAAGCATCACAATTATAGAAGCAAAACGTGTGTCCGCCACAGAAAGTAATTTAAGGGAGATGAATTTGTTGAACATGGATAACATCATAGTATGATTCATGATGAATTTTTTTATGTGAACAACATCACCATGGATTTCAGTGATCCAATGTCATTCATCATAAACTTCTGTGTTATTCTCCACATTCTTTGCAGCACATATTGTTCTTTAAGGCAAGATTTAAAGTATGCACTACACAAGGTGTCCAATAGATGTGGGGATACATACCTTCAACGATTTCTCCTGCACCCTTGCAATTCGCAGCATTATCAGTGATTACCTGCACCACATTTTGATGACCTATCTCATCAATTACTTCTTTCATCAAATTAGCAATGAATTCTTTGGATTTAAATTTACCCATACAATTCACTGCTTTCAGAAATATGGGACCACTTCCAGAAGTTGCCATAAAGTTAATTATAGGTCTTCGTTGCGGATCACTCCAACCATCAGTTGCAACTGTCACTCCTCTTTCTGGCCAAGTAGCTTTGAGTGGTTGTAATAACCTCTCAACATTTCGTCTTCTCTTGTTGAAGTAAAGAAGTTCTTAATTTATTATAACCCGGGGGGACATAACCTCCTAAATTATGATTGGCAACAAAGGAAAAAGCTCTTACATAATATGGATTCCTAGCAAGATTAAATGGAAACCCTCAAGTGAAAAACATCCTGGCAATTTCTTCATCTAATCTCCCTCTAGCATCCATATCAAAAGCTTTCTCCAACGGACTACTACTAGCTTTTCTTTTATTAGGTAAACTAGTAGTACTTATCCAATCCGTTTGTGATCCCGCTGAAGGTAAAGGAACATCTTTAGGTGCAGATTTTTTTTTAATTTTCTCAACTTCTTCTTCTAACTTTTTCATCTCACGAATATCATTAGGTTGGACCTTATTGCATATAACAATTCCTTGTTTTGAAATTTTAAGCAAGTGAGCTCTTACTCTAGAATAAGATCCTTGTTTTATGCTATTACATAAATTACATTGGAATCTCCATGTCCCTCCTGTATCAGCACTTTTACCTAATTTGGTAACAAATTTCCACAAAGGTGTATTATCAACACCAACAGAAGAACTCCCTGAAGCACTGACACCATCACTAACTTGTGAAGTATGTTCCATATTTGAGGATAAATAAAGGGTCGGTACTTACTAGAAGAGTAGAAGTCTAGAACCGGGAAGCAATTGAAATTGAAGAGAACCAAAGTACCAAACCCTTTTCTTCTTCCGTTCTTCCGTCCTGTCCGGTCCTTTGAATAGCGAACCAGCGGCGGTGCAGCACGGCAGCACAGCAGCGGCGCTCTCAGTCTTCCGTCCTCCCTGACTCTCGTTCGGTGTTCGCAGTCTTCCGCTCTTCCCTTTCGCAGACGCAGATAACCCTTCTTCGACGCAGTCGTCGGGTCTTCGCGCAGAGGTAAGCGATTGTCGATTGAAGCCCGTTTTTTTTACTTTCTGCGGAAACACGTTGGCCCAAGCCCAGCCACGTTTCCGAAACGTTTCCTAAACCGGCCCAACAGCCCAACCTCTCAGAAATGTTTCCGGGCGTTTCCTTAGAGTTTCCGGCCGTTTCCCGGCGTTTCGCATTTCCGAAACGTTTCCGGGACTGAAACCTCCCCCCTGCCCGGCGTTTCCGTGCTTCCTAGAATAACACACCCCTAGCGTGTTTAGGATTAGGGAAAATGTGCCTGGACCTCTCTTTTAAGAAAAGTGGGGCCATTACTCATCAGCGTAATACTTGGGTTTCATGTTGGGCTTCTTATAACAAGTATTTGTCCAAGAGGAATCCGTCTTTCTATAAATGAATTTAATCCAAATTAATTCATTTGGACTTTTATGGACCTCATTAGAATTTGTAGATCGTGAGCATTAATGTAACTTGGCTCTGTTTGTTTCCTGAAAATTAACTTGTGAATAATGTTTTTTCTCAATAATATTTTCCATGAAAGACTTTTTCTCAAAATATTTTATGTGAAATATTTTCTTTCTTGACAAGTAAGATGACTCTACTTCTGAGTATAATATAACGTTTGACCCACTAAAAACAAAATTCATAAAAAAATCAGGAAAATGACTTCCTGTTTTCATTGCAGGAACTCATTCTCCGCAAAAATTCAAAGAATCCAAAAAAATATTCTGGTGCCAAACACAGATTTTTTTTTTCTGTGCTTAACATATGCAACCACGAAAAAATCAGGGAAATATTGGAGCAAACAGAGCCTATGCTATACTTTACAATGGAATAGATGTCTTTCTTTGTTTTCTAATGAGCACACTGTTTCTTATAATTAAAAAGTAAAAACTAGCTACTTACCTGTGTTGTATGTACTTATATGTTATATATGATTTGGGTTTGCAGCTAGACCTGGATTTAATAAGCCAGACTCAACCCCTAGTTCAAGGTCACATTTGGAACCTGTACCTTTGACCGAGACGGGCTTAATTTCTGCTGATTATGTTATGGAAGACCCAGATTCACATTTTATATACATCTGTAAAAAGCCACCAAGCGTTGCATATGATTCAGGGTAAACTTCTTCTGGCCGCGTTTGGCTACCTGTTTGAAGCATGCAACATAAGTTTTCTTCCATTCATACCATCTGTAGTATCTATAGAAATGTATGTAAAAAACATGGCTTGGGTAAGAGATGCTGGAAATAAAGTTGCTATAGTACTCTCATTGTGTCTGTTATTTAATGATGAAAACGATAAGGAAAAGGAAGTGTGGGATTACTTGTTTGGTCCAATCCGTTAAGTGCGGGGCAGTGGAAGTGCAAATATTAGAATGTGTAATTTTGCTATATGAATGTTATTATTTTTCCATATACCTTCTTACTTTTATTCCTTTTGTGAACCACATATTCGGACAACATTTATATTCTATTCATAATTTCATATTGGGAAAACTTCCAAAAAAGCCCCTTCACTATACTCAAAATGGCAATTAAACCCTTATAGTATCAAATCACTCAATCAAACCCTCCAACTTGAAAAAAAACATTCAAAATTGCTTTTTAGTAGGGCGTCAACAAGTGAACCGTTTAGGTGCTTATGTGGCTTCTCATCTGGCAATCTATCAAGCCTTCTTCATTCTTTCTTTCATTATTTTCAATTCAAGCATCTGCGGAGGAGTGGTCGCCCTTCTATTCAAGCATCGAAGGCATTTGTGGACAAAGTTGGAGGTTCACTGAAAAGGACGACACCATTCACCCTTCTTCCCCTGAGTCATTTCTGGCGGTCTGGCTTCAAAGAACACAAGGACATCAAGAAAGTGAACAGATAGGTGAGAGTCTGAGGGAATAGGGATCCTTTCATAATCATCCCAGAACCGTAGTTGTTCGCTGACTTCACCTATTTCCTGGACGATTAAAGGCCGGATGATAAAACCGAATTCAAATGACAGGAGCGAAGGCGGGGTTTGGTTGACAGAAGAAGAAGAGAGTGAAGAAGAAGAAGAGAGTGAAGAAGAATCGTCTTCCTTCTTCTGATGGTGTCCAAGAAGCGGCACAGACAATTAATAAAGGTTGAGCTCCCGACGGATTTCCTGTGACAAGTGGAGCTGAATTTCTGGACCATTCACCGTTGGATTATTAAGGAGGGGAAGAAGATTGAACAATTGGCAAGTCCATGGAGATTAGCCCAGTCACGTGTGCATTTAACATTGGTCATATTAAAAGGATTTAAATATTTTTGCCACATAATTTGCCACCGTGTCCATTTAACCTCCAATATGTGTTTTTTAATAGTTGGAGTACTTAATTGGGTGATATTTAAGTGCAAGGGCCTAATTGCCATTTGAGTACAGTAAGAGGGTCTAATTGATAGTTTTCCCTTTCATATTCTATTATCCCTTCTGAATGTTATTTTTGTGGATGAAAATGCCACATAAGATGTGCAAATTTGGGATTGCTGTAGATGGAAATCAACCTCCTCTCAACCTCTCATTGTTGTAGAAGAATTTCCTTTCCTCTATTTTTCCTTGGGAGAAAAGTTTTTTTTAGTTTTCAGTGACCGAATGTTACTTCGATGCTCAATTAGGGAGTATTTGAGATTGTTTCTACTTCAAAAAGTGACTTTTTGAAAAAAGTGCTTAATTTAAGCAAAAACACTCATTTCAACTTTTTTAAAGCCAAAAGTTGAAAATCATATATTTTTTTAATTTTTAACAAACACTCCCTTAGTCGGTTTTAGAGCTGTACAAAAACAAGCTCGGGTCGGATTCGAATTGGACTTTCAACTAGTAGTATCTTTTTGCCCGCTAGTGTGGGCTCGTCCCGCAACGAATGGGTCAGCTAACATGTTCAAGCCCGCCAATAAGAGCGGACTTAACATTCAACCAGGCCACTGCCGCCACTCGACCTGAAACTTGATGCATTTTTTAGTTTTTTTAAGTTAAGAGCATTTCTAAAATAAGTTTGCAACATTTTAAAACTCATTAATAAACTCACTAACATTTCTAAAATGAGTAGGTTAGTTTAATTGTGTTTAAAAGGGTCCATAGTCCAAACTTCTCCCTATTGAATGAGAGCGGTTAATGGATTGAGCCATAAATATAGTGAGTCATACATCTCTACTCTCTCTCATTCTAAGGTTTTCAGTTTTTCACTTTCCTTCTCTGAACGTACCATATAAATGTTCTTATTTTTATTTTAGAAAACAAGTAACACTCTTAAATAATAATTCAATCATCACATATTCAAAATAATATTGTATAGCATCACAATGATCATCAATAATTTCATTATATTATATACTCATCAAAATTGTTTAACAAAATATACTTGAATTAGCTTATTTAATTATTCTCTAAATAATCGTGTTATTTTGTAATGAGAACCTTTACTCTGGATGGAGGGTAGTAAGTACTACTTCAGTCCTATGTTAATCTTCTTATTGAAAAATGACATGGTTATTTAGATAATAATTAATTAAGGTTATTCCAGTATATTTTGAAAATCAGATTTGATGGGTATATGTTATGATGAGGCTATTAATATGATATATTTTTTTCATGTTAAAATTTATGATATGATAAAAAATTATTATCTAAATTTAGAGATCAAAAAAGGATTAAATTAATTGAATGAATAGTACGTAGTATATGAGAACCTTAAACTCGACAGAAAAGGAATATACAAAATAAATAAATAAATAAATAAAAGAATAATACACACACTGACATACATCTTCTCGTTTAGTAAAATAAGTTCCAAAGTTGGGTTAAGATTGGCCCTTTTAGATAAACGAGTCTTAGAAAAGCACAAGTCTGATTTATTTAGCGAGAGGCTAGATCTAACTCAGTCCAGGTTTGGACCGTTCCAGCACCTAAACTCTATGCTAATATTGTATATAATTGAGATTTTAATGTGTAACCTTTTAACATACAAAATTTATTGTGTGTATATAAAGTGCAATAAGGATTTTCAAAAATCATGATCACATTATAAAAAATATAGACTTTATTTGGTATATTGATGCATTTTTGTGATGTACAAATGCATATTTTGTGTAGAGTGATGCTGCTGATGCAGCTATCGTTTTTTTCATAAAAATGCCTTATAATTATAAAACGTCAACCCATTTTGGCTTTAAAATTGATCTTGTTCATAAAATTTTTCAAACTAATGATCTAAATCAGTCTTCATTTTCTTTTTAAACTAAGGCTAACTTTATATTTGAACACTCACATATATGTTGTTTTCTCTAAGAGTATGTTTTGGAGTTGAGTTTTTGGTGGGGATGGAAAAGTTGATGGGGGTTTATGACCTTCATTTTCATGTTTGAGAGTTTAAAAAATTGGAGGGAGAAGTTTTGGAAGGTTGAAGGACAATTAACGAAATAATAATTTAAGATCAATTAAAATGAATATCAAGTCGATCATTTGAATTTATCATATCTTGATTTTCTTTGTAATTCCTACAAAACTCTATTCTTCCAAATTTATTACTCCCAAATATGAAAAAAGGTTTCCTTACCTTCCCCTCCCTTTCCCCTCTAACAAAATACCTCCAAAGCCTTCCCCTCACCTTCTCTCCCCTCCAAACTCCCAAACATATCCTAATTAAGAGTCACTTTCTATTTGAATGCCCATGTATTTTTTTAAATATATGTTATTTAAAGTTTTTAGCAATTACTTTTAACTATTAACCAAATTGAACCCATTCACATCGGTTCAACTCTACAACTTTTGGTTGGAAAGTCGTTAATAGAATGAAAAGTAGAAATTTGAACTTTGTCTTGTCCAAAATGAGACGCCTTGTAAGGAAAAATCAAAATTTCTTTTGCTTTCGACATGAAAAGTAAGAAGCAAAGAAAATAATCACATAATAAAATATAGGGAATGTGCTATGATGTAAACATAAGACAAGTATCCTCATACTTTTGACAATAAAAAGTAAAGAAAATAAATATTCATATAATATTGGAAAGAAGTGGGAAATGACAAAAAATGAGTACTCTATCTCTCATTATATCTGAATATGACTTATTATATGTAAAATCTAACTCTTGAAGTTTATATTATTGAAATAATCAATTGTAAAATATAATATAATATAATATAATATAATATAATATAATATAATATAATATAATATAATATAATATAATATAATATAATATAATATAATATAATATAATATAATATAATATAATATAATATAATATAATATAATATAATATAATATAATATAATATAATATAATATAATATAATATAATATAATATAATATAATATAATATAATATAATATAATATAATATAATATAATATAATATAATATAATATAATATAATATAATATAATATAATATAATATAATATAATACAATACAATACAATACAATACAATACAATACAATACAATACAATACAATACAATACAATACAATACAATACAATACAATACAATACAATACAATACAATACAATACAATACAATACAATACAATACAATACAATACAATACAATACAATACAATACAATACAATACAATACAATACAATACAATACAATACAATACAATACAATACAATACAATATAATATAATATAATATAATATAATATAATATAATATAATATAATATAATATAATATAATATAATATAATATAATATAATATAATATAATATAATACTCCTTCCGTCCCATAAAATAAGTCTCATTTCAATTTGGATCGGAGTTTAAGAAAGTGGGAATAAAGTGGAAATGTATGGTTGTGGTTGAGTAAGAAAAAGGTAAATGAATGTTAGCCACACAAAACTTTCCAAAAAGGGAAATAGGAACAATTTTTTGGGACGGCCCAAAAAGGAAAATGTGACTTATTTTATGGGGCGGAGGGAGTATAATATAATATAATATAATATAATATAATATAATATAATATAATATAATATTATATAATATGATATAATATGATATAATATTATATAATATGATATAATATGATATAATATGATATAATATGATATAATATGATATAATATGATATAATATGATATAATATGATATAATATGATATAATATGATATAATATGATATAATATAATATAATATAATATAATATAATATAATATAATATAATATAATATAATATAATATAATATAATATAATATAATATAATATAATATAATATAATATAATATAATATAATATAATATAATATAATATAATATAATATAATATAATATAATATAATATAATATAATATAATATAATATAATATAATATAATATAATATAATATAATATAATATAATATAATATAATATAATATAATATAATATAATATAATATAATATAATATAATATAATATAATATAATAT